GTCTAGATAGACCGCCACACCAGAAACTACTGGGGATCCTTGGCTACAGTGGGGTCTGGCGAAACATCAGAGGGAGACCTGAGCTTCTCCTTTACGCATGGAAACTGGAGATTCAGCAAACCTTTGGCTATAGGAATTCACATGGTGAACTCACTGAGCATCTACTCTTTACTGGACATACAACTGAGTGCCTGACTTCTTACGCTCTCTCATTTAACTCTCAATGCGAAGGTAGGTTTTATTATCCTGGTTTTGCAAAAGAGGAAACAGACAAAAAGGTTAAATCCTATGTGTCCTATTTCAAGCTGACAAGAAGCATACTGGGAATTAAACATGCTCCAACACCTCTCAAATCCTCTGCCACCTGCACTGGGATTGATGACTTTCTCCAGGTGTGACGCCCACTTCCCCTCACTGACTCATCAGCATCCTGTTTGCCCCTCCCGGTTTGGCTTCACACCTTGGATCTTGTCTCCTATTGGAATGAAGTCTTAGACAGCATTTGGTGATTTGTTTCTTCTGCCCTGGGCTTTGAACCCTGAAGGATGGGATATGGCTCCTGTAATTAACTGCTTGGATCTTTCAACAAAAGCACTTCTTGACCTGGACCACCAAGAGTGGGACATCCTTATATCACTCAGACTTTACCTGAGTAGAGTTCCCTAATATTCTCTAATAACCTAAATGAGAAAAGAGTTTGAAAAAGGATAGATATATGTATATGTATAACTGATTCACTTTGCTGTACACCTGAAACTAACACAACATTGTTAACCAACTATACTCTAATATAAATTAAAATTTAAAAAATATAAGCTATAAGGATACAGTGTAAAACGTGGGGAATATAGCAAATATTTCATAATAACTATATATGGATTATAACCTTTAAAATTGTGAATCACTATATTGTACCCTTGAAACATATATAATACATAAAAGACTATATATTCAAAAAAAAAAAGAAAATAAAGACCTTGCCTGATATCACATACCATTTTGAATGCCTCTCTTTTAAATGGAATCTCATCAGGCACCTAAGGTTGATAAGGAATTTAATAGATGGCATATCCCTGAACAATTTTTATACGGTTGGGCGGAAGATGAGGTTACATATTTAGATCCACAGACACACAATGACTGCCATTTCCAGGTCAGATCCTTTTGAGTAGATACTACAAGGGAGAGAACACTGGCAGTGTCTAACTCTGGATTGCAACTTCAGTCCTGTGACCATGGAAAAGTGAACATTATCTCCAGGTCTTAGTTTACCCCCTTGAAAAAATAGGGATATAAATATGCTCTCATACTCTCGTATCTTCTACAACTCTTACCACATCTTATTTTACTCAAGAATATACAATAAGACTGCCTTGTTCATTCACTCAATGCCTGTTTATGTGGTCAAATAAACCAGGGCGTGATTCTGCTCTAAGCATACTTTGCTCGATGATGGTTGAGAATATCAAGCCTGGACTACTTTAAGCCCACGGGGTGCAAGAGATAAGTATAGCTCATGAAGAACCATGTTTTCGGATGAGGAGAACATGAGACTGGAGATTCAGCCTGCAGAGGAGGGATGGTGGCTGCACATCATATTCTAGAGGTTTAAAGACTACTGAAGGGGCTTGGGGTCTGTCGGGTCCCAATAGTGACTCCTACGAGGGTTCTCCCAACCTGACCTTGGACTGTCAGGCACTGGACAGTCCTCCAATGGAGCCTCCTAAAGCCAGTGCATTCCCTTCTTCCGGAGAAGTAGGTCAGCCCAGTTCCTCCACCTCCTTTCTTCCCTGAGGCCAGAAGCTTCAGAAAAGTGCCCATTACTGAGATGCAAATTGTTGATATAAATCCTTCAGTCCCTGAGAAGGAACTCTCCCAGCTTTACTCAAGACCTCAGCCATAAAAAAGAATGAAATAGTGCCATTTGCAGCAACAGGGATGTTGAAGTAAGTCAGACAGAGAAAGACAAATACATGATATCACTTATAAGTGAAATCTAAAATAAGGATATAAATGAACTTATTTACCAAACAGAAACAGACTCACAGACAGAGAAAACAAATTTATGGTTAGCAAAGGGGGAAGGTAGGCGGGAGGGATAAATTAGGAGTTTGGGATTAACAAACACACACTACTATATATAAAATAGATAACCAACAAGGACCTACTGTATAGTACAGGGAACTCTACTCAATATTCTATAATAACCTAAACGGGAAAAGATTCTGAAAAATAATAGATACATGTATATGTATAACTGAATCACTTTGCTGTACACCTGAAACTAACACAACATGGAAAATCAACTATACTCCAATATAAAATATAATTTTTTTAAATAAAATAAAACGCAACTGTACTCACAGTATGACATTTGAATATATTTTCATCAAAAACGCATAATAAAGGTAAGAAATTTAAAAATCAAAATCCTTTTGTATGTTTTCACAAAATTATTATCTTCTAAGCATCCAAAGCTTGCTATTACAAATAAAATATAAAATAGGAATCATAGTTAATGAAAAACAAAATTTTTAATCAAAATGATTTAAATAAAACTAGTATTTAATGTTTTAAAATATTCATTGAATTTTATTAAACCTTACTAAATTTTTCTAAAACAAACACAGAAACCGAAAACAAACCACAGCCAGACTGTTCTCTATCCCCTTGTCTCCTGCCAAACCTTGCGCCCCGCCACCCCCCCCGCCCCCGCAAGTGGCAAGCGCCTTGAAGGCAAAACTTCACACTTGCCCTTAAATCAGGTTCGTGTTGATTAACACATTAAAAATAAAATGCAAAACTCAGAAACCACCTGCTTTTCTAACCCCCAACTCCCGCTCTCCACCAAATGTTAAATAGAAGTTCAAGAAATAATTAGTTAAGCAAAGCCTTTTACCAGTTTCCCTTCTGTTAGAGGCACTGTCTATTAAATCAAGAAAAATGTCCCATTTACCCACTAAACTAAACACAATCCCTTATTATACAATTAACCAAAACACAATTGTATGTAATACAATTATACAGACTACAATTACACAAAAGTAATGATGCAGCATAGATGGCAATGGCGTCCATGTAATGGAAAATAATGAGAGCTCCCTTGATTAGAAATTAACTTATCATGAGAGATCCCTATTGATAAATGTTCCCTCTACTGATCTACACTTTGCAAAAGGCTGTCTGGCTGATGAAGTCAGATGCTCCCTCCTCATCATTAATAAAGACTATAGGGTAGCAACCATTCCACACAGTGTCTTTTACTCTGAGGTCTCTAAACTAGCACAGTCTAATGAAGCATACATTTTATTACCCACTTTTCCAGCTGGCCAAATAGAAAAAAATGAAGCAGGATAGCCAGCAAGTCTGTGTGATTTGTTGACGATCCCATGTGGAGTGGTATTAATAGAGAAACACGCACATAAAGTTCCACCAAATTATATCAGTCATTCCAAGCATGAGAGGAGATTATGGTCTGCAGAGCTGATTTCTGTGTGATGCTCAGTACAGGCACCTGCTACTTCTCATCATTGCTCCCCTGCACTGGGGCTGTCACCTCACTATCTCTGGGCTGGTTCTTTTCCAATCCATCCTTCTCCCTTTTCCTGAGTACTCTTTTTACGAAGCAAATCTGACTACCTTCCCTGAGTCCTCCTAGAGCATGAGGCTAAATGCCTTAGGCACTCAAAGTTCTTCCTAATCGGCCATATTCACATCATGTGCTCTACTACCAAGACTTACCATCCCCACTGAGCTATATTTTGTGGAATCTAAAACACCATTCATTTTAAGACATGCCATTATTTTATACGCTCCGAAGAAAAATAAATATTGCCAATTCAACTACTATAAATAATCAAATGTAAAATGTGTCCCAATATTAGAGATATTTTAAATGAAAACTAAGTGGCTTGAGTGGACAAAATACTTGCAAGCCATGACCCTCCCCCCATTTCTATGGCATTTCACATGCCACATCCTGCCAATATGCCTACAATACCATCACCCCCATTCCTCAGCCAAGCCTGCCTGTCCTTTAAAACTCAGGTCAACACCACTTCCTGAAAACCATCCTGACTTCAGCTGCCACTGTCATATGTCCCACAAATAAGGGTACACTTCCTGGTCATTGATAGCATTTTATAGTAATGTATAATTAAGTACCTGATAAAACACAAGCAGGGACTCTGTATCACCAACACACAGGCAAGCACATAACATGTATTCACCTATTCGGTAAATGGTATTTTGACTGGGGTGATTAGAATTGGAAGAAAGATGGAGGTTAAGTGCTAGAGAAGAAACATGGATCACATGATTAACCTTGCTGAAAATTCAGAACCTCCTCCTCTTTTATTTTCTCCAGCACATCTTTGAATCTTGAAACTTCAAATAGAAGAGGAGCCAGAGCCCAGGAGAAATGAAAAGGGAAAGGGAGCTTTTGCTAGATGTGTAGGTTGGGGAATAAAGGTGTTGATTCTCTGTCCAGGGTCTGGTCTCCTCTGGGCCAAAGAAACAGAGGGTTAGGGGTGGTGACAGCAAAGATCAGGCCCCCAGGGAGTGACTGTAAAACTGGACTCTGTTATAGGAATCCCAGAGGGTTTGATTTTCATCTGTCAGTTTTAGGAAGGACACTCACTGCAGTGAAGAATGAAGTGGTTTAGGAGAGAAGCAATTCCTCCCTCCTTTTGGCTTCACTCTTAACTTCAAAGTAATCAAATGTTGTTTACGCATAAAATTTTAATCCTTTCACAAATTTGTATTTTGATTTAATTTGCATATCCCATTTACTGCAAGTCGACATGAAGAGAGACTCAACTCATTTAAACCATTTTTCTCTGGGCCAGAAATCCTTTCAGAAATATTTTCCATTAGGCGACTCAATTATGTCTAATGTGGCTGATGTCAGGGGATTCGAATTTTGGTGAAAGAAGCTCATATTTAGAAGAGTGAAAATGGGAAGGTGGGTGGGAGAACAGAGGAGAAGAGACCATAATTACCTGTCTTTGATGCTACACAGATCAATGTGTAAATCACTAAAATTCCCCAGGGAACCTTGCTGAACTGAAATGAGGTCCTTGGGCTGGTTATCAATAAAGATGAGCCTCATGCAGCCTTGGAAAGCATTAATGGGCTGTAAGCACTGGGAATCGGTGAGATTGTCAGGGCACCCTGTGGGACAGAGAAAAAAAAATGAAGAAGAATACTGAAATGATCAGTTACTGCTTTGGCGACCTATTGATGGAAGACCTTAAGGTCTAATTATTTCAGTGTTTTTTCATTCACAGCAGTGAACACATTTTTGTTGTAAATCCTAGCATTCTCAGAGAGGGGACAAAACTGGTACAAAATGGGGCATACTCAATCACTGTATAGAATAGAAAACAAAATGTGTTAAAGGGGATACCAATCCTATCGCATTTATCTCGTTCTTTTTTTTTTTTTTAAACTTCATTAGGATATTAGAAGTCAGCAGCAACTTTATTAGGAGAATCAAACCCACAGAGACATCAGATAGTGGAATTATTAAAACCATGATATAAAATAAATATAGTTATTATACCTAAAGAAATAAACCCAGGGAATTAAAATATGTATCTCATTCTTATTTCTTTTCACCCTGTTCGTAAGCTATCTGCCCTTCTTTTGTGTGGTATACTTCACTCAGCCCAAGAAAGCAACATATCATAACTACTGGGGAATTTCTGTCTTGAAACACTCTTTTAAATGCACACTTGAATTCCGAATTACACATTCAAAGAAAATTACGCGTTGGGTAACAATGGTAGCAGAGTAGTTGTCTGGTTAATTGTCAGCATTATCAGGCTTGGTTCCTGAGAAAGGTACACACAGGAAAGTAGCTGGAATTTTGAGGTGATATGCAAAGCAAATCCAGATGCTAAAGGAATGAAGCGTTTAAATGCACATAGTTATAGGGCTGTAATCACATACCTGAAAGGTTAATACCATACCTTTTTAAAGGGTGTTCTTTAAAAAAAAAAAACAAAAAAAACAGGCACTACACTGATTGAGCATAGCTTGCAACCAGGGAATAACTACGCATTAGGACAGGTATAGAGCCATGTACGTGCATGGGTGCTTGTGCTCTTTATAAACTCCATCCCGATGGTTTTAATAGGTTCAGAGCATATGGGGATGCATGCTTGAAAACATGGCAATAACCCATAAATAATTGGGAATTATTTCAACCATCTCTAATAGATAGTCACTGCTGGGCTGAAGCCCAGAAGTTGGTTAACGGCTCACAGGCACACTATAAAATGAAGAGAGATGCTACAACTTCTAATTGAAGCCATAGAGAGAATTTATGTAAGTTGACTATTATCACTCAAACTCATTTTTCACTTTCCTTAAGTTTACAGTCTACGTGTGGGGCATTTCCTTAAATACTGTTCAGATCCCAGAAAAATCTTCCCTCCTCAGCCTGAAGCCCCGTTAAGACCCACATCTAAAAACACTTCAACTGGGGGAGGGGAGCTATTTTGCCTTTGAGGCATTTCGGATGCTTAAGTAACATAATTAATTCAACGTCATTTTCCCCAGAAATAAATATAAGGTTGCTTTTCTCTTCTGTCTATGCAACACTGCATATGATGCAAAATTATACAGTCTGTGAAATGTATCTTTGGGGGCCACCAGACATTTCTTCTGCAGTCTTTACATTCCTTTGCTGTCACTAGTGGCTCATGGAGAACACAGATTTGGGGTTGAATCCTGCTTCTACTACTCACACAAATTATTTCATCTCTGCAAACACAGGTCTTATTATCTGTAAAATGGGGTTAATATTACCTACCTCATAAGGATTCTGCATGAATTAAATGATGTAAGACATAAAATGTTTACAGAGAATCAAAGTGTTCCCTTTTTAAAGGAATTTGTTATCTAGGCACATGTGGAGATCTGGAATGAAGGACAGAGGCTCTGGCCCTGAAATCAAACCACAAAGGAATCACTCCACACTGTTTCCCTCCCAGGACACCCAGATGTGTACACTGCATCTGTGCAAAGTCCCTTTTGTATTTCAAAGCTTAACCTCATGTCATTCGTATGAGAGAAGTGATTTGCAAATTCTCTTTTAGAGACTGCACTTTATAAATTTACAGGATACTTCTCTTTAGACCAGGCCCAGCTGAGACCCATATTTACAAAAGCTGAAGCTAGTCTGTCTGTTCTAATGTACAAAGCATGATGTTGTACATTTAACCTTGATCTCACTGAATTCTCCCAGAAATTCTGCTTTGTTTCCCAGCCTCCTTGATAAGGATGTTCAGGGACCATGAGTATGTTACTCAAGGTCACACAGCTACTGGAATTAATTACTCTTTAGAGATTGTTTCTATAATACCAACAACTGGCTAAGTAATTAGATATGAATACTTTTAATGAAAAAAGTCCTTTAAAAAACTAAATAAAAATATACATACATCTATAAAAATGAAGCAAATACCTAATTATATATTTTTCCTCCTTACCAGTTTGCCCTTGTGTTTTCATCTTTGCGAAGTTTCCTAGCATTGGAGGGGGCAGCGTCTATACTGGCTGCTCTTTGTGAAGCTACAAGTTCATGGGCTTCTAGGTCTTCCCCATTTTTAGCTGCCCCCCTCCATGGGCATGGCCTCTAGGGATGTGGGGAACAGATTGATAGTGGATTAAGAAAGCACATCAGCAGAGAAATGACTGAGAAAGCTGAGGATGATGGCTGTACCTTCCTACCTGGATTTATTTTTTCTCTTGCAGGTACTGCTGACTATCGGTACACTTTCTCCAAGTTTTCAGCTGAGTTTCTCTTTTGGAATATGATCACAGAGTCTGGCATGGCAACAAAAATCTCCTTTGGATGTGTTATGTAACACCAGCTCTTACAGCTATTTTTTTTTTTTCCTCAGCACCGACCTAGATAATTTATATTTGTACAGCTGTGGGAAAGTTTGCTTCTCATTTCTTTGGGCTTGAGGGCAGGTGTATGTGCATGTGTGCTGGGAGAATGGTCAATTTGACACAGAAAGAATTGTCATAGTGAAATAATTGTCCACTGCATCCTCCCTCCTTTATTTTCAACCTCAAAAGCTGGGGAATTTACCTCCAAAGTAATAGCGATTTCCAGAATAAATCTGCATCCGGGTAGTGTCCTGAGCCGGGGATGATGCATCGTTATCCAGAGTGAGAGTGATGCGGTTCCTTCTGGCGTTGATGCTCACTGAATGCCACAAGCCATCATTCAAGTCACTGCCTGCAAAAGAAACAGGAAGGGCAAGCATAGGGATGAATGATTTGGGCAGGTGTGGAGAGAGCAGGGCTCGTTTCCTTGCCTGCGGTGGTCCTTGTACATTCTCAGAGTGGCCCCTCTCTTCATTTGGTGTAAAACAAATCCTCAGCTGCTTCCCAGGCATCTTTCTTTTTCTTTTTACCACTTCATTCTATTATTATCCTTTTGTAAAAGGGGTTGAACCACTTCTGACATGTTTGGTTTGAAAACAAAAGGGCAAAACATAAATGTGTTTGTATACTACAAAGGTATAGAAAACATTTATTGACTTATTGATACAAAATGCAGAGTAAAAAGTGAAAAAGAAAGAAAAAAAGAAAAATTCAAAGCGTTCCCAGTGATTTTTAATCTCTGAGTGGTGGGGTTAATGGCAATTTTAGTTTTCTCGCATTTTTCTACATGTGACATATTTCTTTTTAATAAAGAAAATAAACTGTTCTAGAGGCAAAAGTAGATGAGGAAAGTTAGATTCCAATGACATACCAGGCAGAGGAGTCTCCTGCTTAAAGGAGGTAACAGACTAGTTTAGTTCCAACACTTTTCCTTAACTAATTATGTGACACTGAGTCACTTACCTTCACAGAGCTCTGGCTTTATCTTCTGTAAATACCATAATTCTTACTCTGTATTATTGGTAAGGGATCCATTGAGATCAGGCAGGAAAGTTCCCAGGTTGTGGGCATAGTGGGTGTTTATTAAAAGGCAATTTCTCTCTCATTCTTTTGCCCCAGATGACTTTGACTTGCACTGCACTGCCGACCTACCTTGTTGAGGAAAGTGTGCTGGGAATTACGCACCAGTGTTTTCACTCTTTCCTACAAAAAGTTTATCATCTTTTAAGGTTCTGTCTGCAAAGTGCTTGCTGAAGGAAACATGGTCGTGTTACCCAGTCCAGTCACAAAGATTTGTTTGTAACCAGATCACAGAGCCCCCCATGTCTTTACTCAATAGACATGTGCCCTGCTATGGGCCGAGTTACCCTCCTTTTCTCATTGCCTTAGTTTCCTCCCCTGCAAAATGGGGAGAATGACTGTACTCACAGGCTCTTGTGAGAATTATACCCATTAATATAGTAGGGCCTGTAGGACAGTTCATATCACATCGCAAGTAAAAATCACGCTCGCTAAAGCAGAAGGACAGAACAGCAACCACAAAATGCTCCCCTGCATTTGGGAGAAAGGATAGTCATCTCATCTGGTCTCTACCCTGGGGTAATCCACAGTTAGATGGAAGAGACTTAGGCAAAGAGGCTTAAAAAACTATCCTTTGAGAATTTCAGGCTGGTGGCTTAGAGAAGCAAGCGAACAACAGCCCTGCTTGCAATTTGGGGTGAATCAGTAACATGGGGATAGAGAAGAAAGACCTAACTCCACATAAGGATCCTGAAAATACTTCATTGAGGAGGCGGTTTTTGAAAACTGCGCAAGAGTTTCTCACTTCTGAAGAGTTCTGGGGGACAGAGAGCCTATACAGAGAAGCAAAGGTCTGGAATGAGAAACAGGACAGGGCAACAGGAAAGCAGGTGGGAAGAGAGTCCGGTCAGGGGCCTCATGTGCCAGGCTAAGGAAGGCATTTCAACAATGTCCTCGGACAAAGGATTCTGGAGGGCACTTTACCCAAGCCAATTGTCTCAGAATCTCTGGCAGTGGAGTCCCAGAAATCTGCATTTTAAAATAGCCCCCTTGATGATTCTGATGTGTAGCCAGGAATGAAATCACTGGTATAGAAGTGATGAAATCACTGGGAGTCCAAGAGGGGACCATTGGCGTGGTGATGACCTGCCTGGAGCTGCACATTCAGAGACCCTGGTGGTCAAAAGTCGGGGCTGGGAGGAGGTGAGGCTGGAAACAGAATGACCAGGGTCTCAGCCAAAGTATTAGCAGCGAAAATGGAGAGGAAGGGGTGGATGAATAGCTATTTCCGGAGCTCAAGGAGTTCAGTCTTGGTAACGCCTACAGGGGGGCAGTCCCTGAGAAACCAGCTGGGAAGAAAGCACTGACAATCAGACTAGAGGTCTGCAGGGCTCCTTAGAACAGCTACTGAAGAGCTCGTGCCCCTGAGCCATCTGATGGCAGGAGAAGCTGCCCCTGGGAAAGCACAGCACCAGGCTGGGGGCCCAGCTGCTTTGCACCGGGGCAGCAGTGCTCCATCTGTTCAGAATGGCCCAAATGTAGGTCTTCCTGTGTTTCCTGCCAGCCCCCACTCAGCCATTGTTTGCTGTGGCCCTGAACATCTGCTTGGGGTGGAGAGGAGAATCCAGAAGCTACTCAGCCTGGAGGCCCTACTTTCCCCCAAAGGCCAGGGTCTGGGTCCCAGCAACAGGGATTCTGCTAATGAGGCAGAGGGTCTGTCAGGTGTTTCTTGGTGCTGAATATTTGACTTCTCTCAGGGGCATTTGGGGGGCATGGCCAGCTGAGGTCTTTACTCCTTTTACTGTCATTTGCATACTGATTTAAATACCTCTGCATAACAGATGAGACTGCATTTGCAGGTAAAGTCTAGACTGGGCTGGAAGGAAGTCAGTAACTAGTTCAACACATAAGGTGAAAATAGCCCCTAAGGGCCCAGCTAGACATCAGGGATAAAGTAGGGAAGAAAGTACAGATGGAGGCCAGGGGGGAGTGTGCCATCTAACTAGAGACACATCACTGAGTCACTGTTCAAAGGACACTGGCCCGAGGAAGAGGTCTACTCAGTATGAGGGGACCAGGGCTGGGGCTCAATCTTATATGTTCTGACTTGGGGTCCCATCCCCTCCCCAGGCCGCTATCCACATTTCTGTCTTTAAAAGCATCACTTAATAAGGGTTTGCTTGGTCAGTTGTTTGTTTTCTTTTTCTTTTTGTTTTTTCTTTCTGGTCTGCTTTTCCTTTTAATTCGATCTCTTTTGATCTTTTCCTACATGGTCCCTAGTCCCTGCAGGGAGAACCTGTGTGAAATCTTAGCTTTTAGAATTATTCGAACAGTAGTTCTTGCTGCTGACCACACAAAGGGATTACCTGGGCAGGTTTTGAAAAGACGGGTCCCTGGGCCCTACACCAGCTTAATTAAGACAGACTTCTGGGGGTGGCCACAGACCTTGGAAGTTTCAAAGACCCCCAGAGCTTCAATTGCGCAGCCCGAGTTGGGAACTAATCCGTGAGAGATTTCAGAAGAGGAAGGAAAGAAGCTAAGAAAAATAAGACTGGCTCAGAGGAGCTGACCTAGGCATAGATTCCAAGGCAAGCGAACTGGCAGATCCCTCTCTAAAAATCTGCTTCTACCTGGGCTCTCTTTTTCCCTTCATTCTGTTAACGGATCCAAGATCACACCCCTGGAGCTTCTTCCAGATTTTTTTTTTTTTTTTTTTTTTTTTTTTTTGCGGTACACGGGCCTCTCATTGTTGTGGCCTCTCCTGTTGCGGAGCACAGGCTCCGGACGCTCAGGCTCAGCAGCCATGGCTCACAGGCCCAGCTGCTCCGCGGCATGTGGGATCTTCCCGGACCTGGGCACGAACCTGCATCCCCTGCATCGGCAGGTGGACTCTCAACCACTGTGCCACCAGGGAAGCCTCAGATTTATATTTTAATAACGTTCTTTTAAATGTACAGGTTTAAGTGCTATTAATTATTCACATATAGGGAAAATCAATTCCATCAGGTTGCTTTCCTTCAAAAACCTGAGATAAGGAGCTCTGAAAAACTAGAAGTTCTCAATAAAAGAAACAGAAAGGCATTACCTTTGAGGCCAGGAATACCTTCTTGGGGAAAAAACCTCTCGGGGTGAAAAAATACAGTATTGAGGACCACTTTGGGGTGCTAAGCACTCATATGATTGAAAAGCTGAGGCTGAAAATGTGGGACTTTGGTTCTGGAAAATTTATTGGATGACGACAAACATAAAATTTCTGAACTTTGATGTGATGTTAAATAATACTTGTCATCTCCCAGACTGGTAAAGAATAAAAACCAATTATAGTCTCTGTTAGTGGATATAGAGGGAAACAGGCAATTTCAAAATTGGTAATTCTTTCTAGAAGGCAATATACCAACAAGTATCAAAAACGCTTAAAATATCATACCTCATCTCTACAAATTTTATTCTGAAGAATTAATCCTAAAATAGTAACAGAGATGCAAACAAGGTTTATGGTGAAGAGAGTTCATGACATCATTTATAATAGCAAAAATTCACAACTACTAATATTTCCAATAAGGGTAGGTTAGATAAATCAGATGCAGTATATTCAATAACATGGAACATAATTCTGAATCTTTGTTTTTCTGTATGAATTTTAGTATAATGCATCTAATGCCATGAAATAGACTGTGATGTTTCTATAGAGATTGTATTAAATTTGTAATTTAACTTAGGGAGAAATGATATCTTTATAATGTTGAGTTATCCCATCCAAGAATGTGATATCTTTTTACATTTGTCCAGGAGTGTTTTAACATTTTTCTTGCATGGTTTTGTACATTTCCTGTCAAATTTACTCCAAGTATTTCACCCTCTTTTTCACTATTGTAAATGAAATTTTCTCTACCATTAGTAATAATAATAATAACGTGGAATATAACAGTGTCATTAAAAATCATAATTCCAGGAATGATATTGATATCCTGAAAAGTGAAAAACAGTATGTGTGGTATGGTTCCCATTTTGTTAAAACTAACTACAGAAATACTGGAACGATATTGAATGATAGAATCACAGATTCTTTTTTCTTATACAGAGTACTAGAATTTGCCAAGTTTCTAAAAAAGTATGTGACGTTGATAATCATTTTTTCAAAACTAACAAACTTTTGAGGCTGAGATAAAGGATAGGGAAAGTTTTCATTCTTTTCCACTTCTTGCCCCCATTACTTAAAGTGGTTGCTTCCTGGTCCCAGAATTCAGCCTAAGGCATTAGTATAAAAGGTCTCTCACAGAGAGGGTTAAATAGGCTTAGAAGTTTTTCTTCATGGAAAAAAAAAAAAAGACA